CGACAACCAGCTTATCAGGTTAGTGTCGGATTCCTTCCTGTCTAATGAAGGTTAATGTTTCACTTCCAGCTGTTCTTGTGAGTAACTAAGAATACGAAGACCTGTCAAGTCTCAGAACAGTTTTTATTTTTTGATAATTCGACCTCATGCAGAAGTCAGACACAAAATCAGCTACAGGACTAGTGATATCTATAGGTGTGATCCAGTCGATGACCGAGGATGCCAGGTTGAGAAAGATCGTACAGGGCTTTGTATGCCAACAAGAGATCGATGCACAGAAGGACTGAAGACCCGTCCGAGGCCGAAGTCTCAATCAGTTTTTGGCTAGTCTTGCTTCCTGAATGGGAGCTTATCTTGGTGGCTGTGAAGTTAAACTCGTTACCCGTTTCGAAGGTATGGACATCCACTTGTGATACTTCATCCTCCTGTCGCACGGCCAGCGTATGCTCGTGTATATGCAACTTGTGCATACTTTCGAGAACAGTTTAGGTATGCGTGCGATACACTTCACCAAACTGTTCCCTGGGATTTAATCGATACCTCATTTTTCAACAAAAGTGACTTGTAGGGCCCTCTAAGTATCTATTTCCCCGCCCAACTGCCTAACGTATTTTGTGATCAAACATTTAATTCTTGGCTGGTGAACGTAAATGAATATTTAATTGTGACAGAAGTGATCAAAAAATATTAAATTAAATTAGATTACGTTTGTTTCAGTATAATACCTAGAATAAAATTTCATCAACATATACTCCTGTTGCGCAGGATAGGGATTCCATCTGAGAGAAATTAGACCTTATATTGGCGGAATTTAATGAAAATGAAAATTTGATCTAGTAGTGGAATTTAAAGGGAACGCCGGGTTACTGAAAATGTAAAAGTGGGTTATCGTTTTAAGTCAAAGGCAAAAACTACCCCTTAAGTCAGTTCTGCCGATTTTTCTAATCCCGCTGCGCATGGTCGTTTTGACTCGGTGTGCAATTCCAATGCCTAGTCCCACAGTAATGCTCTCGGTCGCCTCTGACACGTCTTTCTTGCATCACAGAGCATGTTATACCATGGGTGGTGTTTACGGTTGGGTTCTTCGGAGGGCGAACGCGTAGGCATCCACTTATAAACTTCTTCGGATAGTAAATCCGCATAAGTTAATCGCGGAGATATCAAGTCTCATAGACTTTTTCTTTCGGGTTGCGGCAGTGCATCTGGATCCTTTTGAAGAGTGTTCCCATAAGGCTTCGCATGTACGTAGTTGGGGTCATTGCTGTGAAGCTGTGTGTTGTCCGTTGCTTGCCAGTAAAGTATTGTCTCCATTTTGCCGTTTGGCCTTCACCTGACTAGTGCATCTAGGCAAGGCAGCTGCTGCTCCTTTTTCTTTCCTTATCAATTTTTGTTTGTGGAGATTGGATTAATCAGAGCAGGGAAATTCCACAGCATGTTCTCCCCCACGAGAACAATCGTCTGGCTAACCCAACGGCACCAAAACGGCAACTTCTGCTGGGTGAAGGCAGTATTTTCTAGCCACTGCAGGACCAGTTCTGCCGCTAAATCCGGAATTGGTAGCTCATTCGGCTGTTTAGATCTGTCGGCCGCTGTGTCCGCACCCATCTGCAGCCGCGTCTTGCCGTCGGAGTAAATTGGATGAGGGCAGCAAAAGAGGGAGAGAGTTCGGTAGGCCCAGCACAAATCTGCTTCACTATAACTTCATTTTACGCACTAATCAGCGCCGTTGCGCCCACCTAATGAAGCAGGCGGGGCTAGCGTCTCCGTTTGCAACGATCGAACTATCATTTTCGAGAGTCTAGTTAAAGAGTACTAACCTCAATTGAAAAGCTTGTTCAACTTTTCATGTTTATTTTGAGGACGATTTGCATTTTTGCGCACAGGATTCGCAAACGCATAAAATCTCCCACAATCCCCTTTAAACAGTGGTAAAAATTACTGGCTTCGAATCCAGTTGTTATTTTTGATACAATTGGGACCCTAAAAGTGTCATACTCACGTCAGAAGACCGGCTAATATTCCTCTGCTTCTTCCCATGGCTTAGGGTAACTTCACTTATTGTGCAGGACAAATGCTTTTCCCTAGCTCCTTTATCACGTTTCACTCCTCGCCTTTTCAGCGCCCTCCATCACGTGAAGGTCGTAATGGCTGTTCCATAGTGGGAGCATTTCGGTTAAGAAGCCCAGGACGTATGGCGGAGGCCGTTTCAGAAAACAATGGAACAACTGGGGCTGCCCTGCCCCCTGCTCCAAAGTCGGCTACTCCCTTCTCTGGTCTAAAGTCTGCCTTCCGGTGGCGCGGTTCCTCCCTCTTTCGTAGCGCCAGCTCGTCGCACCGACGTGCCAAAACAAATGCAACGTAGTCTTCATGATTCACCACCACCACCGCTGCTACTACAACCACCTTTACGTCTTGATCCGTCCCTGAAATTTGCTCATTTTACCGTTGCGCCGGCAATCCATTTATCTGTGATATTCGCTCTCTTACCCCGCCCGCACCCCTTTCATTCCACCTGTCATTACCGGTCCTAATCCTGCCCGCTGTCGCCGGTCGACACCGTTACCGACTCTTCTTCATGGTCACCTTATTTCAGCTACCGTTGTCCGTCTTAGCCCTACGTCTCATTTCCATCACGGTCTCCATTTTTATAATGCCGTTGCTTAAGAAGGGCTATTTAACAGCGTTATGTTCTCTTACAACATCTGGCTGCGGTCTCTAGAATGTCCGTTTTTACGTGAAAAATACCCTAGGCATGTCATGTTTTCGTGGATACTCGATTGAATATATATATATATATATATATATATATATATATATAAGAGGGTGACTTT